GAGAGAGAGAGAGAGAGAGAGAGAGAGAGAGAGAGAGAGAGAGAGAGAGAGAAAGACGCCGAACAGGAGAACTGCATTGCGGTGCAGAGATGCAGCCGACGGATTTACCGGGGAAAATCCGACGGTTTTGTGCGAATGTCGGCCCTTCGCGATCCTCGACGTTTCCCTTTTCATTTCTAATCGGCCGACTGATATCAGCTGGCCGTGCTTCGTAGCTGTTCCAACTATTTAACGACCCGATTGCGGATCCTTGTACAAACTCGATTTTCCAATAATCGTTTCAACCGCGTCGAACGTTAGTCGAACGGATATTAAACAACTGATACGATTCGTTGAAAATTTATTTATTTCGCTCGCTGGAAACGCGCAAGGATCTACGATCTATCGACGACTCTACGGAAATGTTTAACAAACGCTTGGAGAACGACGTCGCTATATTATTTTCGTTAACTTTGCCGCTGCTGCCAGACGTCGGCGACGGATCCTGCGAACTCTGGCGCTGTTCCTAATTTTTCCGGCGACTCGTTTCAATTTCTTAATGGGCAACGGACGATTTTAGTCGGACAACGAACGAGAAAGGATCCACGGTTGTTATCCAATGTCGATAAAAGATCCCGCGAGCTTCGACACGGTCCTTAATTCCTTGAAATTTTTCTGTTTTACGGCTTCCATTTCGTTAAGTTGCACAGGCCGACTTTAATCAGCCAGTGGTCAAGAAAAAATCCCCGTTACGCGATTTTAAGTATGTCGTACGGTGTTGAATTCCTTGAAATGTCTGCGTCGTGTGTGGCTTCGATCTCGTAAAAGATCTTTAAAATCTAGTAAGAGTCTTTACTTTAAAATCTAAGAGAGACTTAGATCTGGTAAAAGATCTTTTTCATCAGCCACACCGTCGAACGATCATCATTCGATTATCATTTCAAAAAGGCATGATTGAACATTCTAAGGACCGTGATAAGATCCTTCTGGGCAACGATCGACGGATCCTGAGATCTCTGGCGCCCTGGCACCCTCGCCTATCCCAAATTGAACCGAAAAAAGAATCGTCGAACCAGTCAGAATCCGCGAATGAGATTCGTCGCCGATCGAGATCTCGCGTCGATCCGAACACGATCGACGCGCAGAGAGAGAGATAGAAACGCAGCCGTCAAAGGCAACTCGCGACGGTAGGCTGTTTGTTAGCGCTCGATCCGCTTCGAGGAGCGAGCGAGCGAGCGAGCGATTAATCCCGCGAGTAAACCCGCTTCGCTAGTAGGCTTTCGTTTCCACCAAGGACGAGGGATGGACGCACGTGAGAATCGTGCGTGCATCTGGCCGAGAGAAGAGCTAGAACCGCGCAGTTACCACTAGGCACGCACACTGCATCCTGGATTGCGTTTCATTGTTCGAGAATCGAGCGACGACGGTGTTGTTCGCAGCCGCAGCACGTAGCGCGATCCGTTCGTGCGAGAAACGAAAAAGACAACCGGAGAAAAGAACGGAGGAAACGCATACGCACGCGGTGGGGAAACAACGACAGGAGGATAAATAAAAAAAGAGAGAAAAAAAAGAGAAAAGAGAAACGAAAAAAGAACGAAACGGATAAAAATCGAGAAAAGCACACCGAGGCGAAACGAATCGAACCGCATATTCGCACAGACACGTACGCGCGACCCACACGTGAGTAGACCCGTGAACGAACACACACGGAGAGACACGCGTACAGGACATCGACGGAGATTCGATTGAAAAGCGCAAAAGGGAGCTCTGTTTGAACAACGACGCCGGCGAGGATCCGAGACACTCGTCTTGCAATTAGTGGCTTGTCGAACACGATCATGATTACATATATATATATATATATATATATATATATATATATATATATATATATATATATATATATATATATATATATAT